CATTCACTTTTGTAAGTCATTTCAGACAACTCAAAATGGGTTGTTTTGTACTTTGTCTGAAATGTTTTTAAGGTCTTATAAAAATGAACAGAGGGAGTATGATATTTCCTGCTATACCTTCGGCATGTGTTTGCTTTGAAGCTCCATCCCTCTGCGGTTTACATTTGTTGTTACCCATGTTACAATGTCTCTTGTTGTAGATCTTTTCTATAATTATTATTATGCGCCTCTAATCGATTCTCCTGTGCAGGTCGCTTCTATGCTCCCTGAAGAGGCCTTCTCTGTTATCCGCAAGTCATTTGATGCACGCAAGGTTCTTAATGAACTTATATAATGTGTCTACTCTATTTAATATTGCTCCTCCTGTATATATATGGGATGGCAACTTAGTTGTCATAAAACACTTGCTGTTGGATGTGCTGAAACGATGCAGTCAAACTGGGTTAAGCTTTGTAAAAAAAGAACTCAGTAAATATCTCCAGCATGGTGCTTGTGAGTGGGCCTGAGTTGTCATCTGGCGGGTAGGGTAAAATCTAAGCCTGTTATAAAGCGCCGCATTTTTGCAAAATAATCTGGTATTGTCTGCAGAGATTTGCAATGCCCTGTAATTTGCACAAATAGCGTATATTTAGCAAGAAAAAAATGGTCAGTTTACTATCTATTTATGCTGTCTGATACTTGGTGTATACTTATTTGATCTGGGGATTTTATACTAAAGTTATTTTCACAGTGTAGATGTTCATATAAATTGAAATAAATATGTGATTGATGTGAATTCTATTTATTGCAGCGATTGGTTATTCATGTGGTTACCCAATCTAATTATATTCAATGATATCTGAAATTTATCGTAATGTTTTTTGGTAGACGGTTCTGTGTTGCACATTTTTTGCTTCATCCGTGTTGCGACTGTGACCACGTGTGTTTCTAGTGACGTTGAGTTTTTTAATCTATATTTCAATTCGCAGATTGGTTATCACTTTATCTGAATCGTTTCTTTGTGCATGAATAAACCATGTTTTACATTTACAGATTTTGAAAGAACCTCAATTTGTTTATACTGTTGATGTGGATGCTAAGAAGCTTCTGGACATGGAGCCAAGGACATGGGATTTTATTGCTAGATTGGAACCCAGGCTTGGAATTGTAGAATATATGTCCGATGGGAGGGTAGCAGCTGATCTGATCAGTATGCTTAATGTTCATAACAAAGTCTCCGATGATGAACATGGTATCAGGGATACTGTTAATAATGGCTCGATCAGTCCTACACGAATGAAACCAAGGGTGGCAATTGTAGGAAGTGGCCCATCTGGGTTGTTTGCTGCCCTTGTGTTAGCTGAACTTGGAGCAGAAGTTACCTTATTGGAGCGTGGCCAACCTGTTGAGCAAAGAGGGCGTGACATTGGTGCACTAGCAGTTAGACGAATTCTCCAATCAGAAAGCAACTTTTGCTTTGGCGAGGTATACTGTTTGCTCCTACCGTACTACCAAGACATCACCGGACAATCACATAATTGCTTTGATCAGTATTCAAATAGGTAGTTGTTGTCTAATATATGACTATATCTTTTCGTTAAACATAAACATTATCAATCATGTCATTCGGCAAATACTAGTGATAGTTCTCTTTGTTCAGGTGATAATATGGAATTGATGTACTACGTCAAATTATGCGTACATGTATCTTAGAAGAGGTGGTTTACGTCTGTGCTCTGTATGTGAAATAGCATAGGGGTTTCTTCTTTGATACATGTTCCAATCAGGTATATTAGCTGGTGCATGGATTAGTGCATCCCAATAAATGCACTCTCCTAATTATATGACCTGTAAAGTGTACAGAGACATATTTTAGACATTAATGCATCTGGCTTAATCTCAGATTGCTTGAAATGAATTATGCAGAAAAAATGTGTACCAATCTTCACATTTTTTTACTGCAGCTAATTTAATTAATTCAAAACCTAACTAATGCATGCTTGTTCTGAACTCATGTTCTTCATTGTTTGAGGTTTGCTTTTCCATACATTTTTGTGAATTTTAAAAGGTTATTTAATCAAATGATATTTGCAAGTTTGGTTGATGGCATATAGGGCAATGCCTATTTTTTTGAAGTATCAATTACCTACAATGGAACTTCAATGATTGACCAAACCACTATTCCCTTTTTCCATGTTCCTTAAAAGATCAAGTCCATCAATTCTTGATCTTCTGTTCTTAATCATAGCAGGGTGGTGCAGGTACATGGAGTGATGGGAAGCTTGTGACCAGGATAGGGAAAAACACTGATGGTGTTCAGGCTGTAAGAATCTTCCTGCTCTACCTCAATGGATGCTTAGCTTGCAAATTAGAAATTCTTCTAAAAATGTTATCTGTAATTATTGATGCAATAATGCAAGCTTAGTATCTGTTGGCTGCCAGAGTTCAAGACTCTGGTGGTAACCAGTAAGTTGCTCCCCATACTGGTCATGGATAGTATGGTAAATTTTTTGCTGTTGTTTTGAATACATATCCATCAAAATAGGAAGAGCTTCTGCATAACATAATATCCTAGACTTCAAAACTGACCATTTATATGTGTTTAAGCTATTCCGTGGGGTCTTGGATTTCAGGTGATGAAAACATTTGTTCATTTCGGAGGCCCTCCAAACATTCTCATTGATGGAAGACCTCACTTGGGTACAGATAAACTTGTCCCTCTGTTGCGGAATTTCAGACACCACTTAAGAGAGTTGGGCGTGAGTTGAACATAGCAGTCTTCATTGAAGCTTTGCTATTATTTTGTTATGTAAGCCTTCATGCACCAATGTATTCTGTTTTATGTTTGATACAGGTTGCCATAAGATTTAATACTAGAGTAGATGACCTTATAGTGGAAGGCGGGCAGGTCAAAGGAGTTGTGGTTTCTGATTCAAATCTACAGCCAGGTTCTGTTGATCAGAAACTATCATTCGATGCAGTTGTGTTAGCAGTGGGGCACTCAGCTCGTGACACATACAGTATGCTTCTGAGGCATAATGTAGATATAACCCCCAAGAATTTTTCTGTAAGTTTTCTTATGCTGGTTAAGGCAGTTTCTACTTCACTAGTACTTGTCAATAATTTGATGGTCAGATAGCAGACAAGCCACGGCGTAGAATTTGAGACCATGTTTGGGTTGGATATTAGGTTACATAAGAGGCACATTGGTCTTCAGACCAAACAAAAATAGATTACATGGAGTTTGCTTTCTTTGTCGATCAAATATCTCGGGTTGAGAATATTGTACATGTCACTGAGTAAATACTAGCAGATCATTTAACTTTTTGCCATGTTATATAGATGCTCTCTATTTCAAGTTGTCAACAACATTATCTTGTCCTATTTCGCACTCCTTTACACCGTATAGATAGGGAAAAGGCTCTTCTAATACAACATGTAATTTGGTGCATGCTCAAGAAAAAGACATAGATAAAAAGTCCATATCATATTATATCAGGACGTTGTATTGTATTAGGAATTTAAGGTCCAAACTTGATGCCACATACCTCAGAGGTAAATCAAGCAAGAATACATATTTTTCTCCTCTATATACTACAGTATCTGTCACTCCCTTGAGTTCTCTCACGTCTTATCTATGATAGTTATTTCGTTAGAACCAAGTTCACAACAAGGTATTGGTAGAATAGTGTTTTTTAGTATTTAAACTAGCCAATCTAGGCATTTTAATCGGTTCTTTTTATTATTTAATTGGCCTAACGTAGGTCTTGGCTGGATATAGCCTCCTCGTGGCATTATGTCTTTTGCCCATATTATCTTTGCCAATTGCAAGCACTTGTTTTTTTCTTCATAACATGAAGGAAAGTATGGTAAATTATTTTCTCTTCAGTCCATGTGACAGCATTGGTTATTCTTACAGGTTGGTTTAAGAATCGAGCACCCCCAAGAACTGATAAACAACATCCAAGTAAGGCATATTTCATTTGTTCACACCAACGTTTTTCTGAATGATACTCGCCTAATGTTTAGCTTAATTTATTTCAATGTTGATATTTAATTTCCAGTAATTTCATATTCTGTATTTCATGAACTCCTAATTGGTGATTGTTAAAGGTGAAACTGAAACTAATAAATCAAGGTTTAGGATGATAATTACTATGACATCATGTGGAGCAATCCATTTATAAACTATGGAAAAGTACAGAAACTGCCAGTTTCTCCAATACCCTCCAACCATCAAGTTTTATTATAGGAGTAGCAGCGTGAACAGAAGCTGAAGTTAAGTTTTGGTTTTTAACTTGTATTCATTTCCTTTGCAAATTGTGATAAGTAGCGAGTTAACTATGCACTGATGAGATCTCACTTATAAAAGCATGAGACCGAGTTTGTCTTGCTGGGCTGTGTCCAAGGGCTGACCTAAGCCTTTGTGCCCACCAGTATTTTTGAGCATGGATGCTCATGGAATTACTGTTTATTGCATGATAACAATATCTGTAGTATGTGCACAATCTTTCATAGAGCTTTATATATGGACCTATTGATCTTGTAGTAACTCCTAACACTCACTTATTTGCCGGCTTGATACAGCTACACCGTTGATCTTTACTCCCATAAAAAAGTCAGTTGGTGGCGACAGTCCATCCACTTTCATTACAGCACGTGTTATATTTGGCACAAACGGTTAAGATGGGAGCGGATATGGATATTTTGCTCTTCCATGAACAGTTTTAAAATTCCATTTTAATGAATGGGTATTGCGCTAGTATGGGTAGCAGCATACTGTATTTCAGTGTTGAAAATCAAATGTACAGTGTTTTCACATAATCACATTGTATTCAAACAATCTGTGTGATATGTGTCATTGTCATCCTGTGCAGTATTCTGAATTGGCTGCTGAAGTACATAAAGGGCGTGGGCGGATACCTGTAGCAGATTACAAGATAGTGAAGTCTATTGGTGAAGGAGATGTGAAGAATGATATAGAGCAAGTAGATCAAAATCGCAGTTGTTATTCGTTTTGCATGTGTCCTGGAGGACAGGTCAGTCATTTTCTTGTTGTTTAACTCACCTTTCTTTCCTTAATACATTATGGAGTATTGGAATCCCGTTCTTGAATTACTGAGACATGCCTGCAGGTTGTTCTAACTAGCACAAACCCATCGGAATTGTGTGTCAATGGCATGTCATTCTCACGGCGAGCGTCTAAGTGGGCAAACTCGGCTCTTGTGGTCACTGTATCATCTCATGATTTTGAACCATTTCAATCCCATGGTTCTCTTGCGGGCGTAGAGTTCCAGGTACTTGTTACGATTCCCTTAGATAACTGAAATGCTTCATAATTGCATTGCCATCACCATGAACAATTGGCTACATTGACCCTCTGGATTATGTGCCTTAAAATGACTTTATGATAAAGGTGTCAGCAGTACAAGATTGTCTAGAAGACAACCACTTGATTGCGAAAGTACAAACAATCCACTTGGACCTAATTACTTTCTCGAGTGTTTGATTCCTTTACTTTTTCCAATATTAGTTGGTTTGCTGCACTTCTATTTTTCGAGAAACCCCAAAAGCCTTGCATCTTGATGCATTGATAGAAAGGAGAGTTTGAGCTCAGCAACATTTCATTTTGCACCTGTACTACAGTCTGATGACATTTCCCCCCTTCTGTTAGCTTATGAATTATCTGTAACTTTGAAAACAGAGAGAGTATGAAAGAAGAGCAGCTATGATGGGGGGAGGGAATTTTGTTGTCCCTGCACAGTGTGTCACAGATTTTATCAGTAACAAATTGTCAGGTACTAATTGTATACTAAAGTCTTGTCAGTTAGTAATGATACACATTTCCTTATATTTACTTTGTTACCTGTTTCAGTTACAACTCTCCCACCATCAAGCTATAGGTTGGGAGTTCGTCCATCCAAACTCCATGAGTTATTCCCTCCTTACATAACTGAAGCTTTGCAACAATCAATAACGATGATTGACAAAGAGGTTCGAACTATGATTTTCTTTCTTCATTTTGCAGTTTTGACTTTCCATCTGTCCTGACCCATTTGCAATTCGATATTTCCAGATGCCAGGCTTTATTTCTAGTGAAGCCTTACTTCATGGTGTAGAGGTATGCAAATTCTTATGCGACAAGCTGAATGTGTTTCCTTATTGTTTTACTTGCTTAAAAATGGTGGTTCACTTGATGAATTCCTACACAATGTTTTATTTTATTTTTGCGAAAATGATCAGATCTACTAATACATCCGTATCTAGACGAATCTAAGACAAGAATTTTGGGACGGAGGGAGTATTATAAAAGTTCACCGAAAGTAGAAAGCATCTCAAACATAATAAAAATTGCATTGAGATTCCGAGACCACCGAACGACCACTACTGCCGCCAGAACAAGCCGCCGACGCGCCGCTGTCGCCACTCCCCTACCGGAGCCGGCTTGACCTTGTCGATGACAGCCAGGAAGTCTTCGTGCATGTGCCCCTAAGGACCAGCGCCCTGGAGCGATAGTTGTCGCAGTTGAACCCTTGCATAGATCTGAAACACCCGACACCAAGTCTCACCACATGACGAGAAATCCTAACCTCACCGCCCGAAGGAGACGGCTGGAATCTATGTCGGAGCTCTGTCGACTACGTCCAGACGGATGAACTCGAGGAGGATCGAAGCCCGGAAGACAAACTCGAAGAACCACTGCCATCCGCCCGAGGGCCGTGCCTACGAGGACAAAAAAAACCCTAACCTAAACAACTAACCGGAGCGGAGGCACAGGAGGCACCGGGATTCCCCTCACCGCCACCGGCCGCCAGAGTGGCAGGCAGAGGGGAGGTGAATCCACAGGCTTGCCGGTGAATACTACACGATGTATTTAAACACCAGGGAGTCTGGTGTTAGTCTTAAGCTATCAACGCCATGACCACTGGATGGTAACTGGTTAGTCTAATAGAAACATTCTTGGCTACTGGCATGTGGTCTGCAATTCTTTAACTTTTAGTGTAACAGTTGTCTGCTGTTAGTTGCAGCCTGTGCGGGGTAATGCAATAGTGCCTTTTGCTACTGGCAGGTGTGAGAACAAAATATTGGAGCATGCTCTGAATTATAACAGAAAAAATTAAGAGTTTAGGCCTGCAGTTGAGTTTAGGAAATGCTGAATCTAGTTGTACTTCCTGCAGAATAGCCTGCAAAACCAGGGTATATTTGAAAATTATAATAAGTGGTGTTGGCAAGGTGGCCTGTCGGTGCAGCAGGTTTCTGTAGTTACACACTTTAGCTTGTGACAGTGAGATTGGAACCTGTTGTGCAAACACAACAGCGAATTGTGCTTTTTCTTAAATATCTCTTGTTCTGGTTAATTAAATATGGGCCAAGGTTGAGCTGTAAAGCCATTAGAGTAACCTTTATGAAACAGAAACAAAATACTTTTAGTTTCTTTGGGCCTGCCGAGCTAGGCTAAAGCCATAGGACATTATAAATTTAGTTTACAAAATCGAGTATCTTCCTGAATGATACCCTGAAGAGGTGCATTTTTTGGTTGTTCTCCTGAATGCTCATTCATATTCCAGTTTAAATGATCCCAATATATAGTCTAGCCTAGATAGTGCAATTGTAACTAGTATAGGCTTTTAGCTACTTGATTTGCTATCCCTAGATTCTGTCCTACTTATTGGTAATGTGCACTTTCCCGCTGACAAAGATGCATCACCTTCCATTCAACCTTCTCTGGCCACTTTGATTGTCATATTTGCATATACCCTTGGTTTTTATTTCAAACTTTTGTCTTTATTCTTCATCCCCTTACCATTTTTGTCTCAAATCATATGCTAATCCGGTAACCTGTATAACTTCCAACTCTCATCTCTAACTTGACTTTAAATTTGAGAGAAACCCCTGCACCAAGACAAATGCAAGTCATTCAGGCGATTTTTTCAGGAAACTGGTGAAAAATATTTTCAACATCATGGAGAATACTTTTAGCTTTCTTAATATTCATTGGCATGTGTAAATTATCTGCCAGTTCCGCGGCGTGAAAAGATTCAATGCGAACTGTCATATCCACTGCATAAGTTCATTTATGTGCAATCTTTTTTCTTTTCTTCTTTCTGTGGCTGGACTTCTATATCTTTGGTGTTACAGTTATGTGTAGTGTTATCTCTGCATCCACCCCTCCCTTTTATTTATTATACATATTTGATGCCTGTTTACAGACTAGAACGAGCTCCCCCTTGCAAATCTCACGACACAGGGAGACATACGAGAGCACGTCACTGCAAGGGTTGTATCCAATTGGGGAAGGTGCTGGCTATGCAGGGGGCATAGTAAGTGCTGCTGTGGATGGCATGTATTGCGGTTTTGCTTTAGCAAAACAGCTTTCTCTGTTCGCTGGTGATATAGAGGCAATTTTTGGCAAAGCACAAAAACA